CCGTGTATAATTCGTAAAAATTCGTAAGAATTTTAACTTCAGTTTATTATGAAACTATAGTAATTCTAATTTATTATTTTATTCGAGAATATTGTGGTTATAATATAAAATTTTATTCCATAATAAAAAGTTGACATAGGGAAATTTCGTCATAAAATTGCTTGAAATCTTCCGTCAGTCCTTTCAACAACTTTTACGACGAAAAGTTGGTACTGAAGGTTATAAACTAGGACAATGCTTGTTAAGTATCTACTTTACGAGCTTTTGTTTTCAAGAGTAAAACTATATCGTGACTCTCAAAATGAATAGCTAAACTTCCGACAGTGACTTCCAAGAAATATTCCAAATATGTTTACAGGAACGGTTTGGTTTATATGTAAGTACGTAAAATATATTTCGTCTTTCGACAAAGTGAGTTTGGGGGAATCTGCCATCATTGATTAACGTGAGATGCAATGCAGAAAAGCTACAATACAAGTTCAATGAGCTCAATGTATAATTTTATGTGGTTAAGAATTAAAGCTTGAATGGTGAAACTTGCGTCTTTCTCTCACAAGTGATTTAGATACAGACATTATTTATATTTAAATTGTTTTAATTTGAGGTATTCTTAGATTTGTTATATATTCTTTTGAGAGAAATTTAATATAAAAATACAATATATTATATATATACAGGGTGTCCTGAAATTCGCGAATCAAAATACCATAGCAAGAAAGTCGTCGAAAAAATAAATTAAAAAGTTATTTGCCATTTTTCGTTCCGAGCAGTAGTTTTTTTTAGATAAAAAGGTTTAAAACAGGCCAATCATACATTACGGTTGAACGGAAACCTGTCCGTGAGTCGCGCGTCGATAGTGTTAGTGCATTAACCGATATTTTCTGATTTAATTTCGTCGTTTTCAATTTTACATACAATAAAGATCAGTTTCTAAAATTGCAAAGGGTAGAAATCGCAGAGATCAGGATCAGGACAAACAAGATATACAAAAGCTGTCTTTTCAAGTATAAAATTTGAAATGGCATTAAACATAGAATTAAGAGATACGGTAGTACTTCGCGCCAGGCATACGCGCAGCAAGACCGACTGTGTATTTTTACGCGAGCGAACGAGTTTCAGAGATCCTTAGATTAGACGGATCTCAATAACGACTGAACCGATCTGAGTAGGCTCCATCGGTAGTTTGGATTTGAATTACATAACAAGTGTTTTTTTTCTACGTGTTCACTGAGCAGATATTGCGAAGTCCAAATTGGCAAATTTTCATTTAAGAAACGACGTCAGCATTGTCGCCTATACCAGTCACATTTTCATCATTCGTCAAACGGCATATTTGCCTAGCGCGACGACAGAGGGCAGAAGTGTAGCTTTGCAAAGGGATTGTGACCAAGTCAAAGACCTATGACGCGGCGAGATGGTATCGGCTCCTTCGAAATTCGCGTTGCATCGTCACGTAGTTGTCACGCTTACCGAGATGGGCTCGCCGTTCGCCTTATCCCCGTCCAGTATCCTTTGCCTCAGAGCGAGCCTGTCCAGGCTAGCGAGCCTGTAGCTGCCGCCGGCTTCGCGGTCCCTGCCGAGCCGCTCAGCCGTGCCGCCGCCGTTCGAACCGGCATTAAAGCTCGACGTGTACTTAGGCATGGTTGGTGGCGGCATCTGCCGTGCTTTCTCCCGGCTCAGCATCGTGCTGCTGTTGTAGAGGAAGGACGAGTTGCTGTTGTTGGCTAGGCCGACGCGACCGCCGGACGACGGCGAGACGCCCGACGACGTCGTGGACGACGCCGTGGATGACGCGGACGATGACGACGACAGGGTCTTAATGCCGTTACTCTGTGTGCCACCCGCGGTACCGTTCTGGTTCTCCGTCGTCGACATGTTCTCACTACACGAAACAGCCTTTCTCGCTCGCTCCTCCCGCAGGAGATCGCCGTGGGGATTCGACAGGGGATTCAACCCTTAAACCGAAAACCGACAGATGCTTAACGAGTTCGCTCACTCGTTTCTCACGTGCACTCGACTACGCTTCCCGACACGACACGACTGGTGTCACGTACTCGTATATTTAAAAACAACATTGTAATCCGATTGTCCACGGTAACGACTTTGGAACGAACGCGTTACACAAAAACATGTTTTCAAGATTGATCGGAATATTCCTATTCTGCTTTAAAGTATACAATGAAAAATTGATTTACTTAATTTATAGTCTATTAATATGAAGACTAATATACACATATATTACCACGTAAGAAATAGAAAGATTTATTAATCGTCACTGCGTCACGGAAACCAGCATTTTGATTGGATTCAATTCGACTTGATTCGATTGTGTTAAACTTATAGAGTAGAACCAGGGTTGGGTAGTGTCTAGTTAAAAGGTTAAAAAGTTAAATAATTTTAACTTAATTTAGTTACAGTATAGACTGTTAACTTTCAACTAAATTTAGTTACATTTTATCGGTAACTTTTAACTTTTAATTTACCTCTCTCTTAGGCCCAGTTTTTCATTTTCTGGTTGATTGTTAACCAGAGGTCAGTCGACTCTCTGTCTCTGTTTAGATAATAATATAAAGAAAGAGAGTCGACTAACTTGTGGTTAACAATTAACCAGGAGTTAGTCGACTTGCATTTCTTTCTATGTCATTATCTGAGAAGAGACAGAGAGTCGACTAAGTTTCACAAACGTCGGTTAACTGTTAACCAGGGTTCAGTCGACTTTCTATCTTTCTCTATCTTGTTATCCAAGAAGAGACAGAGGATCAACTAACCATGGGTTAGCGGTTAAACGACGTTTGTGAAACTGGCCCTAACTCTGGTTAACAATTAACCAGAAAATGAAAAACCAAACCTTAAAGTTAGCCATGCCATAAACAAAGGCGTCGCGAGATGCCGTGCGTCTACATTGGCAGTCTCTGTGTTTCAAAATTCACTGCCAGCTCTAAAATCTACTGTGTACGTGTACCATAGATCTTCAACGCTGGTAATGAATTTTGGAACACAGCCGTTATATGGGGTTTTGATTCTCGAACTCACGTGAAATTGTTTGCATATGAAATGGGCCATATTCCGTGTGGTGTGAGTGATTGTCTAAAAGTTAGTCGCGAAATTCAATGCAATTTACGTGACCGCAAGTCTCTGAGATTTTATGTGAAAATAAAACATTTAACTTTTTAATTTCTTTTTATTATTAACTTAACTCTTAATTCAGTTAATTGTATTACGGATTAACTTGTATCTTAACTAAGTTAAATTTTCATGGCTGTCAACTTTAACTTAACTCAGTTTAAAACATACCCAACCCTGAGTAGAGCTACTTATTGTCAGATTTCAATTTCATAAAACTGCAACTCTTGCAATTCGGTAAACTAACATCAATTTCTAAACGTCGCCTAGTATTACCAGTTGCAATATCGCCTGTCTCTCGTATTACTAGTATGCAGTTTTATGAGATGGAGCCCCCGAGTTGTGTGGAAAAAATCGTGGATGTAGTAAAAGCACGGTACGTAAAATGCATGCATTGCGCGTAACTGTAAATCGACTGTGTAATAGGAGCGACCGATCGAAAGGCTGACTGACCCCGTGAAACTTCGTTTGGAACTCATTCGGCAGTAGCATCACACTTCTTAAGCGAGCGTCACGTACGCGATAATGCATTTTCTTCTCGCTTGTCCAATGAAAGGAACGATCTGTCGTTGTGATCAAACGGATACTCTTTCCTTAGACTTTTAAACTTACTCGCGCTATATAGCTACAACAATAAATTAGATTAATACAGATAAATTATAAATCGAAATGAGCAATAAATCTAATAAAAAATGTATCTAAACAACATATAGAAAACGGCTAATGCGTGTCTAAGGCAAGATGTAGGTAGCCTATACTTGTAATTTATTGAAATGTGAAAAAATGTATCTTATCGAGTTTTTTCATATTTTGGTTTAATCACTGCGTCTTTTCAGACAAATGTTTCTCCTCTTCCTAAAACAGTTTTATATTTTTCATCGTCTCTTCGGGTCTTTTTTAAGAATTGCTTCTGTATGAATAAAGTCGAAATTCGTGCGATTTTTTTAAATATAAGTTTCACCGCGAAAACAATGCAGCGCAGATGGCCTGCAATATTAACATATGGACCAACTATAGCTAATAAACGCAGAGTCCATTATTGGTTTAATCATTTTCGTTCTGCAAATGTTGATCTTGAAAATAAATCGTGTGGCGAGACGATGGTCAATAATTGATGAATTGAAGGTAACAGTGGAAATCGATCCCTTTCAAACCTTAGGTGAATTAGCGGCAAGGCATTTGGCGTTGGTATCGAAACAATATTGTCTTATTTGAATCAAAACGTTTAAAAACTGCCGAATGTTCATTCACAAACTCACGAAGTTCATACTTAATAAAAACTTAATAAAACGCCCAAACGATACGAAGTTCCTCAACATACTCGGTGGTGCTTTTGTACGTAGGAAGCTCCAATGCGCGCGAGTGCAAGCGACACTTGACGTTGGTACTGTTGGCAGTTGTTGGCGGGGAGAAAAAAAGAAGCCTCTCGATCGGGGCGCTGGTAAAACACGTCGAAAACCGATACGCGACGGTGCGGGCTTTGTTTATCGTCGCAAGAGTGATGCTTCACGAGAGGAGAGCCACCCGGCTTGTCTTACTCGCCGCGATGATAACCGGACGACGATGACGACGATGAAAGGCAGTGTTCTCGCTTCGGGTCCTTCGGTTTCTCACGAATGAATCGGGCAACGTTCCTGGGATCGATCGACAAATGGGGGAAGCGAATTTAAATGTGAGGACTGAGAATCAATACTCGCACTCTCTGCGATCTTTCTTTCGACATTCGGGTAGAAGTGCAGCGCTGAGCTTCATTTGAACGTCTCGCTCTTCAATTCACGGTATTATACATTAACGCATTCCTTTCCAAACATTCGACGTTTAATATAAATTATAGGAGTTTCATAATTATTACACTTATTAATGACGAATTAAATCTCTTGAATTTCACGTATCAGAATTTACGTATAAAACGCAACTAATTGAAAAGTAAAAAGCTAATAAGGCCGCTGTGAAATTAGCCCCCTATTATTTGAAAAATTATTATTTTTTCCATTTTTAACAGTTGCAGAGTTCTTGCTAGCCCGCGGAGTTCTATCGAAAATCTTAATAACAAAAATTTGTGGGACTGCATGGGAAAAAGTTGCGGCCGATTGAAGATGTCGATTTCGAAGTAAACGCGAAAAAATTTTGTAGACTTCCGACAGTCCTGTCGAGAGTTCTGGATAGCCTCCGCGGAGTTCTATTAAAAATTTTAATAACAAAATAATAAAAATAAACAAAAAATAGTAACAAAAATTTGTTGGGTTACAAGAGAAAAGTTAAGGCCGATTAAAGGTGTCGATTTCGTGTAAGATGCGAAAAAATGTTTGAAGAGCTTTACGAGTTCTGTTGCGAGTTTTAGATAGCTCTCGCGGAGAGATCTATCGAAAATGTTAATGATAAAATTGCCTGAAGTTAAAGCTGAATTTTTCACTTTTGAAGTTATGAGTATTTGTTGGGTGACAACTTCGATTTTTTTACTTTCTCAAACTACTTGTAAAGTTTATCAAGAACTCCAGAACTATGTGAAATCTATCCAGAACTCCGATAAAAAAATATTTTTCGAAAATGGGGGAGGGGCTGCGTAGAATTGGCCCCCGATATTTTAAAAATTCATTTTCACGCCTTTAATAGCCAGAACTAGTTCTCAAAACTGGGACTATTGTAAATCTATACAGAATTCTAAAAAATATTAATTTTGTAAATAATGGGGGTGATTAATTTCACAGAGGCAATAAGAAGCAAACAAAAGTTAATTAGGTAACAAGACAAAGCGTACATTTGTAGAAACTTAAATTTAATGGAGACAAATTTCTTTTAACGAGTACAACTGTCCAACTCGATCGTTCTGCATTCTATGCAGAACAGAACTTCAAACTCGATGTCGGGGATCGAAGAATGTGAGTTTTGTTTCGTAAACACCTCGTATACTACGTTACGAGTTGTTTACGCATGATCGCTCGGCGTTGACTCACCGGCGGCTGTCTGCGTTTCAACTCGCGTATCGCTCCGATATCAGGAATGCATATCGGAGTAAAAAATAATTGCGTGCAAACCGCGTCCCGCGAAAAGATAGAATCACTCCGTTTCCGCGTAACTTGGCGATCGGTGAAGGCGACAGGAGGAGCGCTCGGCGAACACAAACAAGACGGGGCTCAGAACTGCTTCTAAAGCCCGCGTCATACCATGTATTGCGGATGCGGAACGGCTTGAGATTACGTATCGCAAATAGGAAAAATGAGTCAATCGTACGAGATAATTCGAATGACCAAATTCCGATTCGCGATCCGTACTCTCTGGTCCACACGGTCTTGCTTTAAGTAAGCTGTAAGCCTTAATGTGATGCCGGAGTGATTCTGCACTTTTGGCACCTTTTGCTCCTAGAACTGTCAATTCGTGAAAACATTTGTGTAATATACAAATTATGTGGCTCTTGTGTACAGACCGACAGTGTGCCACTATTCAGATAAAGTGAAAGAACAGCAAGGTATCGTTGAAATTAAGTTCAGGAGCTTAATAAGAAGTCTATTCACTCGACTAAGTTATAGGTTACCTAACCTATAACTTATTCCAGTGAACAGATTTTTTGTTAGGCTTCTAAATTTAATTTCAACGATACCATGCTGTTCCCCAATTTAATCCGAATAGTGGAACACTGTCGGTTCGTACACAAAAATCACATAGTTTGTATATTACACAAGCGTTTTCACGCATTGACAGTTCTAGGAGCAAAAGGTGCCAAGAGTGCAGAATCACTCCAGCATCCCCTTAAGCCGTGCTTAAGGCTTACAGCTTAGTCCCGGTCTACAATAGAGATTTAAACTCGAAGCCTTAAGAAACTGACTAATCACAGTCGCGTATTCTACTCGCACTTGACCGTGATTGGTCAATTTCTCAAAGCTTAGGGCTTAAATCCTCCATTGTAGACTGGGACTTACTCGAAGCAAGCGATTGCGGACCAGGGGCTCGATTCTTCAATTTATTCCAAGGAGAAACGTGTGCGAAAATTCTGCTCTTACAGAAAAGCTGCAAGTCGATTGGCTACTCGCGTGGCTCTAACCAATCGACCTTCAGCTTCTCTGTCGGAGCAGAATGTTCGTATACGTTTCTTCTTCGAATGATTTCGAGAATCGGGCCCCAGGGGTTAATACACGGTGTGACACGGGCCTAAGTCGCGCAGATCAAACCCCTTCTCCGGTTAACGAAAATCACAATGCCACTTCTAGCTGACCGATCAACTCGAGCTCCTCTTTCTCCGAGGCTTTAATCCGCGCAAGCGAGCGAATAAATTATACTCATTTCACTCGGACTTGCGTGTGTCGACGTAACAACAACAACCCCCCCCCCCTCCGAGTTTCCTCCTATGGTCTGCAGGCAGGATTACTTGAGGAGGGTGCCGGTATTATTTCGTTGAATGCAGTTTTCGTCGCGCGTGAAGTAAGGAGGGAATAGCACCCCGGCGAGGAGGGGGGGGGGGGGCGCAATCGTTGCATTTCCATTGTCGCCGATAAACACAGAGGTCACTTTCGGCTCGCCGAAATCGTACCGGTTTCGTCATCCTCGCGTGGAAAGGAGACGGATGTATTCTCGCTAACCGGAGTCATCGGGTTCGCGCGTCCGCTCGAGCACTTCCCGCCCCCGAGGGAGAGCGACAGAGGGGAATCCCCGACGATCGTAGCGCACCCGGGGCTCCCCCCTCTAGCCCCGAGGGCCTTTCGCCGTCTAAACTCCAAGAGTGTGCAACCTCGAGCCGACGTTGCAGCCCCAGCCTATCATTTCAAAATGTCCCATCGAGAACACCGTCGTACGTCGGCACATGCATTCGACGCGCTCGCTCGCTCGCTCTCGCCCCGCGATCTAGATATCGCGACACGCTACTACTCCACACTGTCAACGCTCACTGCGTAGGCGGTGCGCGAGCGGGATACGAGGGTTGCTCTCTAGGAGAGACAGAGAGAGAGGGGTGGGAGAGGGGATGGAGCGGATTGGATCTTGCGCGCGCGTGTGCGAGAGAAAGAGCGAGCGCACGCGAGCGAGCGCGAGAAGGAAAAGGGAGACGCGTCGAGCTGCGTGGGCCTCCCGAGGCCTGAGAAGCCGGCGTTGTCGATGATTCACGCCGTCGGAGAGTCGGCCGAGCGTGGTCGCGTTTTCACTCTCGTTTGACGCGGTTCGTTGCGTGTCTCGTGACGTGGACCAAGGTAAGAAAGAGAGAGAGAGAGAGAGAAAGAGAGAGGGAGCGCGAGAGAAGAAAGGCTTTGTGAACGCGTGTATACCTATCCACCACGCACAGAGCGAGACGCCACAATTCACAGTACCGCGAGATTCTCGAGATGAGCCACGATGGACGCGAAACTATCACCGCGCCCGACTCGGATGAACTGCGACGACCACGCCTGACGCAGCTGCCGCAGGCGCGAGGGGGAGCGCGAGAAGGAGAGAAACTTGCGAGCACCAATCGCGACCGTCGGTTACGGCGACGCGAGCGCCGTTAACTAATCGCGCGGACCAATCGGGGCGTCCGCCGCGACGGCACGAGAGCGAAGCCGAGTGGTATCGAGCGTCGATACCGTCGATACTACAGCGCCGCGCCGAATTACCGCTACCTTTAAACTCTTTGCAAGGGCTTTGAACGACGAAGCACTTTTGCTTTCGTTCGTCGCGATTCCTATGTGAACACCACGTTAGTAATCTTTTGTTTTCTTCACGTTGATTAGAAGCGTGTAGTAAAATATGTCTCTACATTTTATGAAACAGTCTTTTGAGACAGTCAGGATTGGGAAAGTAACTCGTTACTTGTAACGAAGTTACAGTTACAGTTACATTTTTTTTTTGGCAACTCTAACTTAACTTCGTTACTTTCTCTCCGTCTGTAACCGTGACCTAACTCAGTTACATTTCTTCGATAACTAGTAACTAATTTAATAGTTACATTAATAGTTGCTTTATATATTTTTTAAACCCCTATAGATCGCATTAGGTCTTGCATTTACTCTTAAACTTAGCTGTATTTATACATTTTACATTTTTCAAAGAAATCAAATTTTTTAATTTAAATTTTGAGTGTTTTAAAATTTGTCTCCTTAATTTTTTCATGGCTTCACGATTCTTTAAATTAACACGTGGTTTTTATTAGTATATTCGTTAATGAAAAATATTACAAACTAGATGTTTCGGTTTGTCTGATCTCGTTTCAGAATTAAAAAAAGTCACCGAAAAAGTAACGATAACGAGTTACTTTTGAAAATCAGTAACTATAATGATAACATTCTCGACTCGGTAACGAGTAACGATAACCAGTTACTTTTGAAAAGTAACTTTTCTATCCTTATGTAATTTTATACCCCCTCGTAGTCAGATGCTGTTTATGAAGTGATACGAGTCGACTTTATCGGACGATCGAAGATTTTATGATATGTCAACGTATTACGGTAATAGTTATATGTTGAAACAACGATCAGCCCTAGGTGATCCGAGCACGCACATGTGCCGCTCTCGATTTCGCAATGTCAACGCTCTTCACGACTGCAATTGTCTTTCGCCTCGACGCGGCCGTGCTTGTTATTCAAGCGCGTCCACTAGGAAGTCTACGGCTGCAATCATACTCGTTTTGCGACCTTAATTGGACATGGAGTTAATAAGAGCACCAAACTGTCGAGACCGCGCCGCGCGCGTGCCTGCACGCGTGCATGTACGAAGGAACGAAACGAGAATAAAAGAGCGTCTTGAACGGAATGCAGCTCGCGACAATGCGTCGTCGGTTCACGAAGTCGGATGGAAGCTCCGACTTCTTGACGATAATTCTTCCGCCGACCTTTTTGAGCCAGGCATTCGACATTAACTCGCACATTAGTCAAATCGTTACAATATTAATGCATAGATGTTCAGTTTTTACTTAGTTTGCCAAAATTCGCGATTTAACTTTCCTACTAGACGTTAATCGAGCCTCTAAAAAAAGTCAAATGGAGCAACTCCATTGTTTTTTTTTAAGTAAATGTTTTAATTTTAACACCTGAGCACATAATTAATTTTAAATTTATTAATTTCTAAGTTACTAATTTACTAAATTTGCTAATCTGTGAAGGAATTGACCCGAATATAAAATGTGCATTCAATATGGACTCCCTAAGTATTTTCGTCCAAAATGACGCCATTTATCCCTGGATTATTCAATTTTTTCTATTCGCACTACTAACCAGCTTTCCCTGTTCATTTACTTTATTTGTCAGCAAGTTGCATAAAAATTGTTTCAGTAATTTTAACGGCATACTTCTTTACAATTTCTATTGTATAGTTGAAGCTAAAAGATTCGAAATTACATTTTACAAGTGAGACACAAGTTGTATGAAATTTGTTTTCTTCTAAAACATGAAGATACAAAGTGCGTATTTTATGAGGGTCGTGTTTGGTGGAGGCTAAAGTAAGACGAAGCGTGAACTTGGCGTCTCTGTCTGAACTGATTTTTTTATTGTTTTATTAAAGGTTTAATGTATCTAGAACTATTAAAAAGGAAGCCAGAACTCTCAACAGTTAATGAGTTTCCACGAAATGAGACGCTTAACACATACACACACATCAATATTTCAACAAATACTTTTAGCAATATTGTAAGTTAATATCGTAATGTCGCGTCCACGTGAAAATTAACGTAAACTCCTTCGTTCAGTCGCAAACGCCGAGTTCAGGCACCCCTTTAATATTGCGGACACGAAACCGACCTCAACGTTCCGACGATCGGAATGCAACTAGTCTTATCAGAGAAGGAGAGACAGAGCGAGACTCACCGCTGCCGTAGCGTCCGAGGTGACGCAGGTGACGTCGTCGCAGTTGTTGTCATCGCCGTCGTTGTCGGAGTCGCCCATGCGGTCGCCCAGCATCCGTACAGCACCGGAAACAGACCAGAGAATTGGATGGGACGTAGGACAAGGGGGGAAAACAGGGTTTTAACACCGCGACAAGGACGCGATAAGGAATAAGGACAATAAGGAGCGGGAGTCGTCCGGGACACGAGGACAAAAGGAAGAGAAATGTTACATGTTAGAATTATCTCTTTCTAAAATAAAAATATCTATCGCTAAAACATATATTTTACATCTCTTTTTTTTATCACGACATGTCTATCGCCGTTATCTTGAGGGCACGTATCTTGTTTCCAATCCATTCCGATTAAATGTTTCCAATGTATTAATAAATTTAAAAAAATTACTCTCGCTGCTGCTTATTTCCCACACCAATTGCTGCGGTCTTAAGCAACACGGCGTTTATCATCAAGACAGAATAATTATTATAGCTACGTGAAATATGTAGATTCCCTCGGGAGCTTAAATTTAATAATAAGAGCAGAATCGCCGATCCTGTTTTCTCTCAAAATCTCTCTCAAAATGAACTACAACCGAAGAATTTTTCTTCCACATTTGAAATATAAAAAAGGTGCAAAGAGATGTATGTAGAAATGGAGTCCTGCGTCTTACGTGCATCTTGCAGGGCAATCGTGGACGCCTCCATGCTGATTGTGCGTTCGATACCTCCGCGTTATCGTCGAATTCTTTCGCGGCGAATCGCATGAACGGCTACTAATAAACGCGCTACACCGAGGGGTGCCATCGACTGAAATAGATTTTCCAAAAGATGCGGAACCCTGCGCGGAGAATTTAAGTATGTATCACGCGATACGTGGCATAGTTCGATTAGGCGTCGACGGATATGACCAGAAAATCTCGCGTGAATTCAAGTCGCGATTTGAGAGACGTAATTTCAAAAGGATCATCCGTCGATGAAACTCAAACGGTGACATCCGGTTTTTTTCGTTCGTTTCGTTTACAAAAATTCGAGTACTAGATATTGAACACGCGCAACCTGCGAATCTAAAAATGTACAGTCGCGAACGACGACGTTTCTGTTAATTCATTTCGATTTGAACTCGCCGGATTATTGCGCAGAAACGCAAAAGCAAATTTTAATAAGTATAGAAACGACCTTACTGGTAATTCTTTATAATAAAACACGTTTCCGCCAGTAACACTGGTCCTCTTCAGGTAACAAACGTACAAGAGTGCTTGCAAATATCTGAAGAACAGATAAACAAAATATTAATTAAATTAGGGCGATTTCTTACATATCAGAAAAGAAAATCAAGGTAATTATATAATAAAACTTACAAGATTCGTCAGATTAGAGATGTGAAAATTAAGTTATAAGTCAGAAATTTCGTTGTTCATTTTTGTTCATATTTTGTTTATCTGTTCTTCAGGCATTTGTAGGCGCTCTTGTAAGTTTGTTACCCGAAGAGGACCAGTATTACTGGCCGAAACGTTGTGTTTTATTATAATAAAGAATTGCCAGTAAGGTCGTTTCCACACTTATTAAAATTCTTGCTTTCTTGACTGGCGTCACTAAGCTGCTATCTAATTGCAAAAGCAAATGTTTCGCGGATAATCGCGAGAGCATTCACAGATTCCGATCGGAGTCTCGCCGACCTCTCCGGTGGGTTTTTCACGAGCCACGTTTAACACAATAAAGTTTAATATCCTCGGCGCGACGCGAAAGATACGCGAACGATCGCATGTTCGCGTGTTGGGCACGCGAGTCGCACTAAAGGCACGTCGTGTCGACTCGGGCGATTCGCGTCTTCGCGATCGCTCGGAACTTCTCTCACGTGCGACGAAGAGTCGCTTCTCTTCTATCCTCGTCCGTCGTACTCTGCCCGCCACCATCGCTCTTCTCCTCTCGCATTCTTCCCCCTCAATCAATTAAGAGAATTGATTCTTTAACCCCGCAGAATTGCTCTCGGGTCTATTTCCGAGCGTCTTTATTTATAAAATCTCCGTAAATGACACCATTGTCACGATTAAACTTTGTCAACACTCTTCATTTTTTCAGGTACCCATTTGTTAAAATGTAAAGAGGACTATACGATTCGTTAAACCGTGTCCAGTAGCTGTTATCATTACGTATCCTACGTATTACAGGGTGCGTCGTTTTAATGTACCGTCCTAAATTTTCCTATGCCTTTTACAAAAAATGTTTCATACAGAAGAGACCACTTTAGAGCCTTTAAAGTTATGAAGTTAACAAAAGTTGATGCACTATTGTAACAGCATATTCTCGAAATCAAGTCAAGTCAAAAAATCCTCTACCACTTTTGCCTCCGACAAAGTTATCGAGATACCGGAAGTATTGAAGAAGTTACGAAGTTTTCTTCGAATATCTAAAAAAATATTAGTCAAGAAAAAATGCTTCGGACAAAAGGTTATTCAAATTAATTAATAGAAGATGATACGATGAAAAATAGGGGGTCCCATTTGAAGAATTGATGGTGACCCTCACGTGATTAAAGGTCGACTATCCAAGGTCGCATCATTGGCACCGTCTTACGTCCTCCTTCGAGTCAAATGACTTTTGTATGACTTTTGTATGAAACATTTTTCGTAAAAGGCACAGGAAAAAGATATTTGGGGTGGCAAAATGACGCACCTTGTATGTGTGTTATAAAGTTTCTGTACGCAGTGCTGAATACACTGAATGTATCGAGTGTGTGACACTCGTGTCAGGCCTCGTCCTATCGCCACCGATTGGGAACAGACGTCCATGAAAATAGCGGCGCTTTATCTATGCAGGACCAACGCAACAGGCAATGACTACACAATCTTATCTTAATGGAAAACTAAGCGGCACGCGACATTAAGTAGCGAAACGGTTTCAAACACGAATTAGTTTTCTTTTTTGCAAAATAAAAATGCTTCAGACAAAAGTTATTCAAATTAATTAGTGGAAGACGATACGACAAAAAATAGGGGGTCCTATTTAAAGAATTGATGGTGACCTTCACGTGACTTTCGAAGCTTCAACGAAGCTTGATTTCAAGATGACGATGATATCGCATATACAGGGTGTCCCATTTTAACTTGGACACAAAAATTCTGTGTTGTTATATTATATATATATAAAATAACGGAATAATGCAACTAGATGAATATCTGCTATTACACTCAGACTGCGATTTTCGTGGCTTTAATTTTTTCAAATCCTCATCGTTCTTGGAATGTTTGAGTGACGCGGTAGAAATTGTTTCTCGTTTTCACGTTACAAACTAATCGGATAATCCACAACTTTGGCAAAACTGTCTATGATTTATGTTCCTTTTGTCACTCGCAATCTCACGCAATATATTAACAGGTTACACGCAACGCTAATTTATCAGTACGGTATTTTCAGGCTAAATTACTGACGCTTTCGGTAGTAAACGATAGACAATACCACTCGTGATGGATAATATAATTAATGCTCAATGGAAACTCAGTCTTCTCTCCCTTTCCCCTCTTCTATTCCCTTTTATCTATAATATAAAATACAACAGATATACGAATAGACCACGGCCGGTACGGTGCATTAATTAGATTCCGGTAATAATTAGGGATGGGCAAAAACGCTTGATTATTTAAACAGACGCTTTTTGACGATACAATCCAAACCGAATTAATGCACCGCACTGAACGTGGAACAGATTGACGGCACAAGAATAGCGCTCCAAATTGCAATCTTTCTCCTTAATTCGTATTGCCATTACAGCTGTCGTGTAGTAAGGGAACGAGAACAAAAAAACAAGCGTTGACAAGATCTAATTAATCCGAGCTGTTGAGGGAGAAAGGGGAGAAAGGGCGAGTGATCATTAAATTGGTAGGTTGGGTTAGGTTAGGTTAGGTTGATCCGCGGCGTATTGACCGGCCACCGTATCGACGATAAAATTTGGCGGCTCCCAAAATGGTCGGCGCCCGGCGCCGTTTCCGACAGGTGAGAGAAAGATGACTAGAGGGGGAGGGGGGATGGAGGGGAGGAGAAGGACCTCACGGAGAACGGCGCGTCTCTTGTTTCCCTTACCACTTCGCTGCATCGTCGTTCCGCCGGGGCGTTACAGCGACTCATCGAGCATAATTCTCCGTCCGTAGGCAGCGCGAGTAAACGGCCACTAGCGCGCCTCCTCGCATGCCACACACTTGCGAGACGTGATAATGCGACAACGCGCGGCAGCGGTACGCGACCACCGACCGATCGAAGCAGACCGAGACGCGAGAACGCCAACGCTCCAGCACGCAATACGATCGCACACTTTTCAAATATTCGCGTAACCAGCTTCTCGCACGACGATTTGAGCGCCACTGACGCGTGCGCACGAACAACGACGTGTGTAACTAGGCCATAGACGTAGTAAGAATTGTAAAGCCCGTATCAGCACAGTATAACCAGTAGTGGCACTCGCTCTTTTGTTTCATGTTCGCGCCGATCCGTACTGCGCATCCGACATGTTTTTATTCTGACCAATCACAGGATTTTTGTACGTGTGTTAGTGCAAAGTCGGTGTGACATTGAAAAATTCGCAGTGTTGACGAATAATGGGTAAATACTTTTATACGTTGCAGCAAGTAATTACATTAATTACTTTTATTAGAACATTTTCTTTCATAGGCCATTTCCATTTACAATAAATAATGTATGCCAGTTCGTATATGCCTTTCCTGGATACGATCCTGAAAAGGGCCCAGGCACTTTTAGCCGTTGATACACTGTTGGCGCGAATAAAAACATGGCGGAAAATTGAGAACGCCCAGATCAAAGGCGCCGACAGAGAGTGCAACTACTGGTTATACTGTGGTATCAGACTACGGATTGGGATTGGGATTAGATTGAAATTTAACCAATCACAGTAAAGTTTACTAATCTCAAATTCAGTAACTTTTACTCTGATTGGTCAAATTTCAATCTAATCCCAATCTCAATCCGTAGTCTGATACGGGCTTTAAGCCGATTGAGATTGGGATTAGATTGAAATTTGACCAATCAGAGTAAAAGTTATTGAACTTGAGATTAGTAAACTTTACTGTGATTGGTTAAATTTCAATTTAATCCCAATCCCAATCCGCAATCTGATACGGGCTTTAAGTTAATAGACTGCGCGCTCTCTACCTCTCCCGTGTTGAGAACATGTGTACAAACTTTATGCATGGTCTACAATGCGAGTCGCAGAGTCGTAGTTGTAAGAATACTCGACTGGATTCAGACTGAACGCGAGAATTATAAATAAGCCGTCTGAAATGTTAGGAAAATACACATTTGTTGAAGTAGAAAATCGTTTCATTTCTAACAATTAAAGGACAACTACCAACTGTAACACAGGAAGCCTCGTCATCAAAATATGATGAGAATTATGAGCCGTCTAAAAAGTTAGGAAAATACACATTTGTTAAAGTAGAAGAATGTTTAATTTCTAACAAAAAACAACTACCAATTGTAGAACAGGAAGCCACGTCATCAAAATATGATGAGGATTATGAGCCGTCTAAAGAAGTTGTTACTCGTGACAGAATGCCGTTCGATATTAAATTAAAAATTGCAACGACTGCAAACAAACATCAAAATTGGAGTTTTAAAACTTTACAACAGCGATTTAAACGATATTTACGGCACAAGAGCAATATTGCACGATTCAGGAAGGATATTTTGAGACAGGTGGAACGTTCACAGATGAAATAGAATTTAAAAAGAAAATGTTTACAACTGATTTATCGAAGCACGAAATATAAAGCAATTACAAGGCGGCAATTACAGCAGTGGGCTACGGTTATTACATAAGAATCATTTGACGCCAGCAGATCAACATGATTAAACAAAGCAGTTAAACGACCATGACTGGCTGTGTTTTTTAAACACAGAAAATTTATTTCAAAAAATATTACCTCAGCCAGGGTCTCAACCTGGACCTCCCTTCTCTCTAGGCGGGCGTCTCACCAATTCGACCACTTAGCCTCAGTGGTAATATTTTTTGCAATAAATTTTCCGTGTTTAAAAAACACATAGTCATGGTACGGTTATTACATTGCAATATCGTAATGAAGATGAAGAATGTGCTTTTCGTTTTGTAACATCGCCAAGGTGGATGACTAATTTTATAAACAATTATAGAATTTCAAAGGTCGAGATTGATGAAATATTAAAATTATGTATTGTACAGCAATGTCTGAATTTTATAATAAATAATTGTTGTAACAAAGGTTAAGTAAATAATAAGGAATTCTTATTATTAATTTTATACCTAACTTTTTATTTTACATGTAAATAGTATCGTGCACGTTTAATATAATATTGCAGACAATAAAATAAAATAAAATTGGCCGAGCGAGATTCAAACTCGAACGCCGCAAGCGATAAACTAGATTTAGCATTTCTTGCATTCTTCTTGTAAGACTAATTGTTTATATTATAATATATATATACATATATAAATAAATTTGTTAACAAATGTCTCAGTTTATTTCGTCCAACTGACTTTAGGTATGTCGAAGTGTTCAGTTAAGCTGTCCAGGTGTCGATTAAATTCCTCCACCCGTTGTTTATGAGTCTTCGAAGCCTTTTGCTTGATTCTTTCGGTTTGCTGTAAATTAGTGTGATGTCAAGAATTTCTGTAGTTTAATTATTAATGTCATTATAGGTACGTGAACGTACAAGATGTACGGCATAATTTTAAAAAATATTTATAGCACTGGTCGATCTGCGCTCTAATTCGCAGAGAGCTAATAAGTAAGCGTCAGAGGTGAAATAGGAGTATGAAATGGAAATGATTCATTTCTTTACTCCTACTTTTACATCTTACGCCAGGCTTACTTCATCTATTGCAGACGATCCTTAACAGACACTGCGTATATGCTCACCATTTTCTCTTGCATTTTCTGAAAAGCCAATTCCGCCTTTGTCCGCTTTACCTCCACCTTTTGAGGCTTCTCTTCTTCGATAATCTTCGATACTTCTACCAACTTCTTCTTCTTTCCCTTTTTGTCCTTTTTCCTGCAAAAACAATTTGTTTTAATTAGTCATGATACAATAGGGTTACGTTCCATTTAACAATCGCAACGCTCGTGGAATCGTTTTATCCTTTTTCCTACCGAAAATTAAATACAGGGATAATGTTCTCGAGTGTTGCAATCGTTTAAGGAGGTTCAAGCGCTACTTACTACTCAATGAACATGTTTTTAAGAAAATTGTATTCAATGACTAAAAAAATAATTTCGCAATAATATTAGGAAGATTATATTCGTAAATGTCATAATAACTTCTGTGTTGCATACAAATGTGTTAAATTTGGAAAATTATCAGGCTCTACGTGTTTGCATACTGCTACTTTACCTATCATATAATATATCATATATTTTAACAATATATATAATAATATATTGTTAAAAAGAAAAATCGCACGACGAGATTAGATTTGTTACTTTATTAATGAAGTAACAAATCTAACCTCACTCGAGCATAAATATCTTAAGAGGTTAAGATACTTACTTTTTGCTCACTGTCTGCTCATTCTTTAATTTCAGGGCGCCCTTCGCAACGTGTGCGTACGGATCGTCTTCAATGTCCGTTTCAGGCATTGTGAAAGGCAAATCAATCGTAATTAACCGTATACAAGATCAATCACAATAAAAAATATCTCGATCTTTGCAGATAATGCAACGCGCAACCTGGAAACTTTTACTAGAGATAGAGACCCCTCTAATAAGAGTCTGGCCATAAGATAGCACGTTGTGATTGGTCCGCCAGTTCTCTTCAATTCGCGCCAGTTTTTTAAAGCTCCTACTGGTAAAACATAATGAATTAGTATTTTACATTAACATTTCTTAAAATTTAATTCTTACTATTTTGAAGTCATCTTAATATTATCAAATTATACAGTTTTTCTAGAATACTTTCTCGTATAACAAAGCATAAAAAAATTTTTTTCCACACAAGTATATGTATATTATTAATTCCATAATTATAAATATGAATAATAAACAATTCCCACATATATGATAATCTTATTCCCTAAAGTATATTAACATAATATTTCGTACTAATCTATGTATTTAATTAAATTTTATAGATATAATTATTCAACTAGTATATATGTATAACATTAGTACTATTAATAAACTATTAGTAAATATTAAAAAAATAATTTTACCTCGAATAGACAACTGTTTGTCTGGGTCCAATTTTTTCTATTCATATTTTCTACCCTTGGGCTTGACGTTTTAAATCTCTCGGGAATATTTTCATACCCTTTTGTTGACGAATTATTACAAAAGGCTGCTGCGCATCCAACCATTGTTTAGCGGAGAGCACACACTTTTGCATAAGTGCATAACACTTAAGCCCGCTGCAGACGATGCTATTTTTCCTGCTGGATTGCTTGCAATTTAGTAAATTACTATCATTGCACCACTCAGCATTCAGGATTCC